GAGAGAGAGAGAGAGAGAGAGAGAGAGAGAGAGAGAGAGAGAGAGAGAGAGAGAGAGAGAGAGAGAGAGAGAAATGAAGTGGCTGCGATGCGCGTGGCCAAGAGGTGCGCTGAAAACATGCACCCTACCAGTAGGGGCATATGGAAAATTTTGGTCTTGGTACCCAACGGCTATCCGGTAGGGGCATACTGCAAATTTCGAACGGGTACCGATAGGTGCATAACAAAAACATTTCAGGCCCAGCCGACGCCGGGGCTTTATGGGAAATTTGAATCGTGGTCAGAGGGGCACGACAGGGTAAGTCGGCCATTGGAGGGGCGCGACACAAAATCATGATAATGGAAATTACAGGGGCGCCAGACAAATTTTACCTTCTTCCTTTCTTCTTTGCGTTCATTCTTTTCTTATTTATTTCCTTCTTTCTTTCCTTTTTTTCCCCTTTTTCCCCCCTTCTTTCCTTCATATTTTCTTTATTTCTTTCGTTTTTTCGTTATTATTGTTTTTCCTATGTTATCGAACGTACACTACGGGGCCTCTCCGTAAGGGACCCTGTATGTTTTCTACTCCAACGTACAAAAACAAGATCTGAGAAAAAAAAATGTTATGCACCAGCACAAAATAAGCAATATTTGGCATCATCTGCAAATTCTTATTAAAATCTTAAAAAAAATATACAAACAAAAACGAGTGGAAAAAAAAAGGTTGCAGCAGACTTGCTGCACCAGCAAGGACCCATCTACATGCCCAGGCTATAACTGAACAGACACTCTTATAGCCATCTACATGCGCAGGCTCCAACCGGACAGACACTCCAACATTAGAAAATTATGAAAATGTCTTTTTATTTTGGGGTAACATTTTCAGTTATAAATTCACTTCAGACATCCCTCGAATACAACGCATCCCCACCCAACGTTTAAGCTGGGTTGGATACATTCATGATTTTCCTTGCTTTGGAGCAAAATTTGTGAAACCGTGACTGAAATGCATTTAAAACTGAAAACCTTGACTGCGCTCTAGTTTTTTCTTTCTTTTTTTTTTTTAAGACTTGTTGAAGCAGCAATATGCATAGGTGTTGAAGTTTCGGCCATTTTTACACCATACCACTCCCCCAAACAGAAGTGGGACTCGGCGGGCGGGTATTGGGGGGCACTTTTACGCCATACCACTACCCCGAACATATTCTTTTATGTTGTTTTTTGGGTTTTGGGACTTCGTAGACATTATAGGAAAGGTCAAAAAAAAAAAAAAAAAAAAAAAGAGTCGTACGGTACCCCTAGCATACGAAAAGCGTCTGAGTACAGGAGTATGAATCCGTATTTGTAGAGGGGTGCGTACAGTTCGCAATGCATATTTTTTCTTTCTTTTGTTCCTTCTTTTGTATATTTGTTCGTTCGTTTGTTTTTTCATTCATTTGTTCTTTCTTTTGTCGTTCGTTCATTTGTTTGTTTTCTGTTGTTCTTTCGTTTTTTTCTTTAATTTTATTTTTTTTGTTTTCCTTTTTTTTTCGTCCTTTTTTTATTATTATTATTATTTCTTTCACTTTTTTTTAATCTTATTTCGTTCCTTTTTTTTCCTGTATTTTTTTTTCCCCTTTTTCATTATTTCCTTCCATTTTTTTATTTTGTTCATTATTTCATTTGTTTTCTCATTCGTTTTTTTTTTTTTTTTTCCGTTATTCCATCCTTTCGTTCGTTATTTCGTTCTTTCGCTTTTTCTTTCGTTCTTTCTTTCTTCCATTCTTTTTTTCTTTCGTTTCTTCCTCCATTCTTCCGTTCCTTCTTTGGTTCCTTCCTCCTTTCTTTCTTTCCTTTCCTTTTTTTTTCCTTCTTTCTTTCTTTCGCTCTTTCCTTGTTTCGTTCATTCATTATTTCCTTCCTTTTTGTTTTGCTTTCTTCTTTTTTACCTTGCAAGTGAAAGGAGACAGAATGACTGACTCATGCGAACATACAACTGTGTAAACTCACGGCGCTCATTGTGCGAGAACCAAACTCGAACTTCACTCCGAAGGATACAGCAGTGCACATCGAGAAGAGGATCATATCAGGGTTGTGATATGCCTCCGCCCTCACCGAGAGATAGGAATGCAGACCCAAAGCATAGAGAAGCCTGGCAAATCCCCTACTAGTTTTGGCCATAGCCAGGACCGGCCTCATCAGGGGGATCGAGATGGGTGAGGGAACTACAAACTACTAATTTATATTCGAGCGACCATTCTCCATCCTAGGTTCTCCAACTGTCTGGCTGATCTCGTCACAACTCCGCATGCGTTATTCCCGTCTAAACAAGTGTCGTGCCGCTACCATTCTCCAACCTAGGTCCATCCAGTAGTCTGCCCGATCTCGTCATAGCCCTGCAAGTTTACTCCCTCCTAAACCTACTCTAAGTGCCTGCCACGTCTTCCTTCCCACAGGCGATATTCAGCCTCGTCCTAACCAGGTGCGTCTCACCTTCCATCCACATCAGGCTGTTGTAATCGCGCCCTTTCACACCCCCTCGTGGGATAAATGGGTAACACGACTGTGCGGTTGGTAGAAGTCGGGCAAAAAAAGGAGGCGCAGGGTGCACGGCCAGGAGAAGGACGAGGTTAGCAAAACCGGTGAAACCAAACATGGTATGGAAATAAGGGACCTCGTTGGCCTAACAATAGGGCTGAGGGGTCGGTGTTGACACTGTAACTTGAAGTCCCGAACGCGGAAAATGTGGAGGTCGTCGGGCAGATACCACGGCTGGATGGGCGGGAAGCCTATCGCGCTTCCAGGTTCCGTTTTTTTTTTTTTTTTGGGGGGGGGGGGGGGGGGGGGTTAGGGGTCTTCGGGCTTTTCGGGTTTTGTCGGATTGGTTCGGGGGGTCTCTTGGGGTGTTTTTCCGGGGGGGGTGCTCCGGGTTTCGTTTGAGGTTTGTTTCGTGGGCTCTTCGGGCTTTTTTGGATTTTTTGAATTTTTTCGAATGCTTTCGAATTTGGTTCGGGGTTTGGTTTCGTTTTTTCGGTTCTGTTCGGTTCTCTCGGATTTTTCGGATCTTCCTTGGCTTAGCGGGTCTTTTGGGTTTGTCGTTCTTACGTTTTGGGTCCGGTGTATTAAGCTAGCGCAGGTGGGTCGGTGCAGATGAAGCGGCACAAATACTCATCGGACGTGGGCGTAGCTGAGTAATAATGACAAAAGAAAGGCGGGCGAACCGAGCCAGTTCAGGGACAAATCCTGCTAGGCAGCCGTTAAACAACTCTGCATGCGTAGTTGTCTCTTGACTGTTAGTAGAGCGAGGCCAGCGAGCTCATCCGCTGAAGTCGTCATCTTAATTCGATGCAGCGTACTCGTAATTACGGCTTTTTTCTGCCGGGTCATTGAGAATGAGTGGAAGTCCTGAAAGGTACGATACGAGAGTTCCTCGCTCCCCCAGACATGCTCGTAGTTCTTTGGATAGTTATGGGACGAGACCACATTCCCGACTATCTCAATCCTCATTCCTAGGAAATACCAGGTGTCTTTGCCTTCGTCGTTCTCTTCAGAGTAACCCTCTTATCATAAGCATCACCAAACTTCTTCATAACTTCCAGACAACGCGTGCTCTCATTCTTCGTTGGACAGCAAACGAAGATGGATACATCATCAGTGAGCCTCAACCCTCTCATAAGGTTCCTGTTGACCCCTAGGCTTACAAGGAACTGATACTCGTTCATGGCACACAAAATGCATGCTAATGGGGGGCTGTTACTTTTTCCCATTGGTATGCCCACCTGCTGGCGTACTAATCGGTCTGACGTGAAGAGGTACGTGTGATCCAACTCGTACTCAACCATTCTCCCAATAGTTTCAAAGTTCACTTCGATTCACCACTTATTGTCTGTCTTCCTAGCAAAGGCTGCCCCTTTCCCTCGCCTTCTGATGCTCACACTTCGCTTCCCCTTTTGCTTATACCAATCTAGAATCCAATTCACATCAATTCGAATAGACTCATGGGGGAGC